CGCTCCTTTGCCTCGCGAGATGCTTCTCTTGCTTCGCGAAACACTCCTCTACCTCGCGAGACGCTCCTTTGCCTCGCGAGGGAAGCTTCCCTTGCCTCGCGAAACACTCCTCTACCTCGCGAGGTGCTTCGCTACTTAGCTTTATATGCGATCAAAATTTATACAATATATAAATTGCATCTATGCATACAAGACAATATTTTCAAAAATTTGACTTACACCACTATGGCTTTTACCCGTCCATATGTAACATTATTTATAAGAAAATTATATTGTAATAAGGAATTATAAGGAAACGTGTAATAAATTTGAAATTGTATGATACTAATGCCGGATATATTATACGAAATCAACATAAGACGATTTCTTAGGACCAGTTTCACAAGTGTCGGTTAACTTTTAATCTTAGATTAACTCACTCTTCGTCTTTTTCTAAGGGGGACGTTAGAAGGAGGCGAAGAGTGAGTTAATCTAAGATTAAAAGTTAACCGACACTTGTGAAACTGGGTCTTAATAGATAATAACGGTGTTTATTCTTTATCTATAGAATTTCACATTTTAAAAATTATCGTTAATTATTATAAATTTCACATAAATGTGAAGGTTTGAATCAACGCTCAAATAATAGCTTCTTGCTTGCAAAATTTGACATTTATCTGAAAATTCAAATTATAAAATTACGATTATATTTTTCAAAATTATGAGATACAAAGTTCGTAATAATTTTGAAGAATGTAATCTTAATTTTGTAATTTTAATTATTGTAATTCGTTATTAATTGGAATACGCAAGATGGAAGCGCGGCCGCCGCGACCAGAATATCCCCTCCAGCTGGCTAGTTCGGGTTCGGCACGATCCTAGCACGGACGCAAACCATGTGCGGTTACCGAGCGATACGACGTAGTTGAGTTGCATTTTCTCAGGCGGCGCGTCGGAAAATGCAACACAGCAACACACGAAAAAGGCCGGGATGGCCTCTCTCAGGTTTCTCTCTGCGCGTATCAAGAGATCGGTGTAAACACTAGGCCAATATGTATGTATGTACATACATACGTATCTATAAGGTCTATGGTCTATGCGCGTGACGTAGGTCACGTAGGTGACGTAGGTGACGTATATTTATGTCGAACACATGTGCAGTTTTGGCGGTAATTCGGTAATTGTCATTGTCATATTGTCAATTTCTCGTCTCTCGCTAATCTTGAATTTGCAACGAATCACGCGTATACAATTTACAGAATCGATAAAGAGGACAGCTTTGAAGCATTTCGAGCAACTTGGAGATAGGAGCCAGGGAGGATACTGGGACAGATATAATTTTTGGAGGGCAGCAACTTGTGTAGAAATGATTGTTAAAATCGAAAAGATAATAAGCTGCTCCTCGGAACATCCGCTATATCCTGCCGCCAATCTTCTTCAACGTAATTCCGAAAACTGGAAAGCTACGTGGCGATGTAGCAAACCAGGTGAAATGCTGGCACACGTCATCTTTCAGCTCGCTGAGCCTTCCTATGTTACGGGAGTCGATATTGGCAATTATCAGAGTTGCGTCGTCATTGTCACTGGATCCACGTCCGCGGAACCTGACAATTGGACAGTTATCGTCAACCACAAGTTCATGACCAACGATGAAGCTGCAAATGACAAGTTTAAGGATCAAGTTCAATTGTTTACTAAAAGAGAATTGAATCCGGATACCTTGAAGATCAAATTTGATCGAATCAAAGTTACCTGCATGCAATCGGCCAATTTGAAAGTGTTGTTTGGATTATCGTATGTCATTTTAAGATCAGATTCCACCGTTGATTTAGGCTTGGATGCATTTGGCAAGTTTAAATTTAAACAACCGTGCGTCGTCAAGACCCCCATGGAAATGATGAAAGAAACGATCCTTGGCAAAGCGGAAGATACAAAGACGGATTATAGGGAAGAATTGCGCGAGCGAATCAAGAAAAATTCGATGGAGAATTTCGCCAAGTGTCAAGAGGGACAGAAACTTGTGAGGAGGCCGTTGTTAGAAAAGTTGGAAGCTGGAGAAGCCGATGAAGTTTTTGGGAAACGTGATAAGACCCAGCCGCAACGCCTGAAAGATCAGAGAGACAATATCTGTGATAAGTTATTTAATCAAAGTCCCAAAAATACCACAAATATAGCCAATGAAAAAGTGGTGAGAACACCTTTTGGAGATGTTGTACCTCCGCGAAACGCCGATACTAATAAAAATAATATGAAAGATCCTACTCAAAGTCCTTCGACTTCTAAGAAACGCTCTTTGAGCGAATTGGATAATTCGCCAAGTGCGAAACACAGTGAAAGAAAGAAACAAAGGTGCTCCGAATGTTGCGCAGGCTCGCAAGATCACCTATGTACGACTTGTCGACGATTGCCACAGCCCAAAGACATCGAGAATGCTCGTCCTCCTTCGAAAACAAGCGGCAACGTTCCTGCAAAACTGAAAAAACTGAAAAAACCGTTTAAAGAATTGTTCAACGACGTTACATTCTCCCTCAGCGGATACGTCAATCCACAGAGAGACGAAATTAGAAGAAAGGCTCTTACTATGGGTGCCAGATATGTTCCTGATCCAAATACAACTAATAAAAAATGCACTTATTTGATATGTGCTTTTAAAAATACTCCAAAATACCAACAGTTCAAAAATCACACGAAAATTGTTTCTCATACTTTCATCGAGGAATGTTTTGATAAAAAAACGAGGTACATGTATAAAGTTTTATATATTACTTTTATTAGAGATTTTAAAGAATTACATGTAAAGAGAGAGAGAGAGAGAGAGAGAGAGAGAGTCACAAATTATGTATTTTACAGATTTTCTTGGAGGCGATACGCTTTAGATCAAAAAGATAAATTGCAGCCCGAGAGCGAAGAAGAAATTGATGGTGATCGATCGGAATCTGTATATGATATGGACACCGATGCAGATTCAGATTATTAATATTTCAGTCGAATTACATTAATTGTATTAATATTGATATATCGATTGGTCTCCTGGTCTCCTTTAATATTTATATGTAGGTATATTGAACAATCGATATAACTAGCATTTTCTTTAAATTCTCAAAGAAATATATTTTTTTATAGATGCACATATTTGACACATTTGGTACAATCAAGAGTACGCTGGCGCGATTAAAACTAAATTTTTTGTAATGCTATGAAATTGGATATATCAAATATGATTGTATCAAAAGTTGGAAGATGAAAAAACGGCAAGGTTTCGTTAATAAGACAATAAAAGGTTTTAAACCTGATAAAGCTTTTAAATATTTACAGATTTGAATATACAGGTTATAAAAGATGGAATGTCACGTTTTGCTACAGACATTTTAGAGAGAGTAAAAAATTAATTTGTCAATCATTGTACGATAAAATTAATTGTGTGTACATATAAAATTAAAGATCAAAAAAACACATTGCATGTGTCTCCATTCAGCTTTTATTTTATTTTACAACAGGCATTGCATGCACGTGTATATTTTAATGAAATCAGAAGATATAGCTTAATTGAGTCTAGTTTGTAATATCTCACGCGTTGCCAGTATATATTTTCTACATTATATAAATAATTTATTTTAGTCACAAATTTATGTTTGCTTTGAAACCCTGTCAGAGCGGTCGAAGCTATCGAATGAGAACAAGCGCGCGCGCGGCGCGACACGTGACTTATGGAAAATGGAATAATGGAAATGGAAGTGGAAAAATGCTAATTGAGCGTAGAATAGAATAGATGAGCGCGTTCGCATTGTAGCGTTAAAACGTCGTATGACTGGGCAGTGTATGATACATACGTACATCCATAACCTATACTCGACAAATGCGTGCACGAAAATCAATGATATTCACATTTACATTTTACAATTCAGTCACATCAGTCGTCACTCGTCACACGACATACGACACACAGGTGTAGTCTGTTCTGTAACGGTAGTGGCCTGCGCTTGACAAATTTGCAAGCTATCGGCGATTGTCACAGATTATCAGGATGACCGATGTAAATAGCGTGTTCGGCTTCGAGCTCTTCCAAAAACTCTATCACGATGATATCCATAAGAAAGAAGACGTGATAATTTTATTTGTGCACTGGTACTTGATAAAGTCTGGATTTAGATGCATTGGTATCGGAGATGAAGTAAGTTCTGACGATAAGATAGACGTCCTATGCGATAATACCGAATTTCCACACATTTCACATTCGTCTTACATTTAAAAGCATTTTTCGTAATAGTCTTTTCAAAATTCTAACCTATACATGTATAAAGTTTTGGTAATATATTTTTATATAAAAATTTTGTGAACAAATTTGTTCTAGGTACAATTTTCTTAGATTCGAGTGAAAATATTTTTTCAAGACTGTTACGAATATATTAAATTAGGTTAGACGCATCAAGTAGTATCACGAGTATCAAGCGTAGCACGTTAAATTCATTATTCAATCGTTTGACGAGAATTTCGGACATATGCGGATAATGCGCGTCATATGTCATACGTTGTAATTATCTTAAAAATGACGTTGAAATTTACAATTGTTTAGGTTGTGTTTGATGGATCAGAGAAAGGATCCGAATTACTTCCAACAGAATGGAATCTACGTCCCAATTATGCATTACGTTATGTAAGAGATGGAAAATTACATGTACTTCTTGGAATCAAGTCGGATACAGATCTACTGTTGAACTTGATGGTAACTTACATGATAATGTGACAGCAAAATTTTTAAATTAATTAAGTAACAGTGATCACCTGAAATATTATATATTTAAAATGTTATTCTTATAGAGGCACCACGATAATTATATAATTAGTATTCCGTTCCCTATCGAGAAAACTGTATCTGCGTTACATGGACCTTTAGAGATTACAATACCAGACTATCAGGCAATCTTACATAATATACAAAAAGATTTTGTAAGCCCGATATGTTCTAATGACGCAGCGACTCAAACAACCGTACCAAATAACGGTGGTTCCTCCGAAACAAACAGGATTCCAGCGCGCAATGATCATCATCCATTGGGGCCCATAGGACCCATTTATCAGCCATCATATCGGTAAATCAATATCAATTTAATTATTGTCCCTATATGACTTTTTGTATTAGTTTAGGTCTTCAAGTGAAAAGAATTCAAAATGCAGCATTTCGAGAGAGCTCGTGACCGTTAATTATTTTCCATTATTACGTGTAATAATATAGGGCTAATTCCTTTTAGTGACACAAGTCAATGCAAACATCGTTCTATCCTTCTTGGCATTCAATGAATAACAAAGACAGAACGACACTTATGTCGACTTAGGTCACTAAAAGGAATTGGCCTATAGTATACATACTCGTATATATGTACAAACATGTGTGTTGCTCTACATACATTAAATGTCGATATAATTTATAAATTATAACAATTTTCAATCAATTATTATTAAATTTTTCTACATTGTTCCATTTTAACGTGATCTAGCAGGTGTATAGTTAATTTAATTATTTATTTCTATCATTAGACCTGAACATGATCCTGCGAGAGTAGGAGTTAGAGATCTCGATCCATATGGAGTAGGCAGTGGTATGATATTCGATCCATTTAACACAAGACATGATCTAATTGGACGCTCACCGAGTGGCTTAGGAGTACCTGGAGTATTGCCGCCGTATGTTCTATGATTAGTGTGCTACTTTAAGTGCGAGAGGATCTATTTTCTAATTTAAGAATCAATTTAAACGTTATATTGTAGAGGTGCGATACCACCTGGTGCAAGATTCAGTCCTTTCGGTCCACCAGAGTTGAATCCATCGAGACCACACCGTCTCCGTAGACCCGGCGACGACCACTTACCTCCTCCAGGATATGACGATATGTTTCAGTGATGCGTTAAAAAAAATTGTAACTTGAATGAAAATGAAGGTAAAGTGCAGACAGTTGCTAAGCATGTTACAGAGTATGTTTGTATAATATGCTCCTTCGCTAACATCTTCTACAATATATTTTAACATATTGTAAAGAACTGTTTGTACATACATATAAAGAACCGTACATGAAAGATACATATATCATGCTTCTCTGAAGAGAGGAGTAAAGTTGGAAAATTTATATAATAAGCATCAGTCATCAGGGTGTAAGAATTATTATAAAACGGTCTTTTTTTTTCACAAAACAACTTCCATTCCTTTTTATTTCGTTTACTGATGTTTACAATGTAACAAAACGATTTCTTGTCTTTAATTTAATTAAAAGGAATTGTGTAATGCGATAGATAGGAAATTATATTCAAAAATTAAACGGTAATCTTTGCTTAAATTGCGCTAACTCGTTACTTTTATTTCTTGTTTAATCAATTTGTAGAGAGTGATTGTTCTTATTTTATTATGTCGGTTCAAAATAGAGGATTTTCTTTGCTATCTAAATTGTTCTCCCTTGAAATATTCACATTAGAAATATGATTAAACACAAGAGATCTTTATCAATACATAAAATTATTGTATTATCTAGACCCATATCAAGTGTAGCTATTTAAAAAAGATAATTTTAACTACAATTGCATTTGTTTTCGAGTAATATTAGTTTTTGCAGCGGTTCGATTCATTTCTTCGAGAAATAAAACATTCCACACTGTGTGGAATGCGTACTATCGTTTATATAAGCGTTAATAAGCGTTATTGCACAGCAGAACAATTTTTACATTATTGTTATATCGTAATTGACCATTTAATTTATTTCAAATAAAACAGCAACGGGTGTAATAATTTTCTACACCTGTTAGCATCACAGCTTCAATAACCACAATCCTTCTGCTTCCGCGGTCTATACTTTTTTATGCAGATAAAGAAAATTATATCACAGATATAATAAGATATTTATAATATTTATAAATTATTTAGCGATTTAATTATATACCTTGAAGAAGTGAATCGATGCGCAAGAGTAATAATTAAAGAAACGATGAAAATTATACTGGTAACTTTTAAAATAATAATATCTATTTTGTCATGAATATCGGCACGATTTCTTTCCAATAAAATGTTTTGTATTTAAAAAATCAAGTTAAATTGCTTTAATTATCATAATTGAACTAGAATTAAACGGGTGAAAGTAATGGTACTTTAGCATTTAAGGTTGGATCTCATTTGCTTTTATATAATATATATCCGAATATCCCTCGTCCCATCCTCTGGTAAAAAATATTGCAGTTTTTAATATTACAAAAAAGGAGATGTACCAGATTTTAATTTCGTTTCGAGTCTGCGATTGTAGTGAATGTACTCCATAATTATCACTCGTTAAAGAATATGTACGAGTAATTAAAGTTGTCTCTTGTCGTTTATTTAGTAGCTAATTGCAAGTAAGTAATCGATTACCAATCGATTCTGTTTAGTCATCGTTTGTTAGAAGAGGTAAATTGCCAATACACGATTAACAAACGTGTAACGATACGTAATCATTGTTGACACTGTCGTTCTGGTGCTCGACAGTGCGGCGGGTATCTCGGGTGTCTCGCAGCAATTAAATTTACTTGGTTGAACGTAGCGTTATACAGCAACAAGACTTTATTGCCGCGTAACCATTGTGCAATAGTTTCATTTCCGGAACGCACCCATTGTTGAGCAGGACAATCAGAAGCAAGGACAACATACGAATACAAAGTAACGTACATTCACATGAAATCAGCAGACACGCGTGAAATGTTTTAAGTATTATTACATTTGTTATTATTTTACGAGTGAATTTTTCTATCCTTTGAACACAGTTTAGTGTGGCGTACACAGCATCATTGACAATTTTACCAAGACAGAAGACGATGATGACTTTACATAATATGCTTGTATCAGATTGAAAAATCTACTTTGACTAAAAGTTAGATATGCAAAGATTTTGGTAAAATTGTCATTGAGCTACGGTAATACGTGATATACAGCTCTGGAGTGATTTGCTTCACATTAGTTTCTCATTATCCATCATTCAAGTTAACGCAGATTCCAAGTCCAATAAGAGTTAAAAACATCCATCAGCGATTCGGCATGCCATTGGAAATGCAACGCAATATCTTTCTCTTTTGTTCTTCAAATTAAAGAAATTTAATTTGAAATATCTTATAGCTCTAATGCTGCACAGTGTTATCTATCAAATATTTCTGCCAAATATTAAAATGTGTAATCCAAGCATAAATTATTGCTAATGTTTTGTTAATTAAAATCAATGTCAGTTGTAATTAACAGAATTCCGTATATACACAATGCATGTGATAAAAATAGAAGAAAAAAAGAAAAAGAAGATAGTAGTTTAGTACATTACAATATCATGTTTTGCAAGTGTGATGCATTTAACATGCATACGTACTCCTTTAGCGTAAAATTAATAATCTTTTATTATGTCTTGATTCGGTATAAAAATAATTTTGATGTCGAGCATCTCGGAATTTCATATTTTTGCAAAGTTGTGGCTGATACATCGTTTCGAAAATAGCTTTCTGAAGAAAGCCGTTCTTTGAAAAGAATACATATACACGTATCTTCATTTTATTTCGAGCGCATGCTGCGGAAAATGTATATAAAATCTTCCTAAAGAGTAGTATTATATTTGACATTCAAAGCAGATTGCCTTGATATATTTTCTTTAAAAAGAAAATGTCTTTAAAAAGAATTGTATATAGACATTAATTCTGATTCGGATTCTAGTTTTACACATCTTGACATTTGTATAAAGAAACGCATTTGTTTCTTTATAATAATCTTATTTTACCCTGAAATTTAATTTAATAAATTGTAAATATTCTCTCTCTTTCGCGCGCTCTCTTACTCTCTCTCTCCCCCTCTCCCTCTCTGCGTATGTGTGTATCACACGCGCAACATAATTTAATATCGTAATGAAATAACAAATCGATAATGTATGGATGTGTTACATTCATTACAATTACAATTTCCCTACATTTTTCATTTCTCTAATTAGATAAATCAATATTTTCCTTTTCATTTACAATTGTTTATAAAGAATATTGGTCTCGTATCGAGAAAAAGATGAGATATATATTACATAATGTACGAATTTGTACATGTGCGAATAATTCTCGCGTCACGATTTACAAATCAGTAAGGCTAAATGGCAATAATATAGTCAATCATTTTTTTTAAAAGATAGTTATTACCATTTCAAGACTTAACTTTTGTTCTTCCATGGTCAATATTGATCAAGTATCAAAAATAACAGTTCATTTTAAAAGGAAATAGCAACGATTTTGAAGCGAATTTTCCCATCGTTAATGGCTCCTTTCGGAATATAAAATTAGATAATGCAAAATATGCCTCAAAATTGGTTGATACTTATTACCGTTGCATTTCCAGTGATAGACCACTCAGAACAGATTTGCTACAATATGCCACTTGTTGTCAGGCGCAAAATTCTACACATTTATACCAATCAGTATGAATTGGTGAATTTTTTTTCATCTTCTCTTCCCCTTTTCTAAAAGTTCTTTGATCTATTGGATGCAGCAGGAATTTTTTTGTCCGTTCTTGAGCTTCAATCGAGACTTAGGACGATACTTTTCAAGAAAAGTTAACTGCTTCGCGTTTATGGCGCCTCGTCTTTTTCTAGAACAAAGAAAGGAAATTATTACAATTTCCACTTTTTATTTTGCATTTTGTAGTGACGCGCGTTCCACCTGTTTGAGCGATACAGATTGCAAGATTGCAACATGACTTACTCTCTGATAAGGGCAACAGCATCTTCGAACTTGAGCCCAAGTTCGATGAGAGCTATCGCAACCAAAACTGGCGCTCTACCAAGACCCGCGACACAATGCACCGCCACACACGCGTCAGGTGATTCTCGGAATCGGTTCTTTAGCAACTCAAACCATTCATCCACCACCTAGAAAATGTCGATATGGATGAGTAACGGAAGATGCAATATGCAATGACAATGACCATGACAATGACAATGACATTTATTCGAGTTGGAGTTGTCCCCTTCACTTTTATCGCAACACAGTCGAAAGATAAGACCTTTACCTCGTTCGGTGGAAATGTACCATCGTCGAATACCAAATCTATCACATTGATCCCCTCTGATTTGAGTTCCTCTACTTTGTACGTTGGTTCGCAGACTCTCACCACCTCCTTTACATTGTGCTTTTTCAGTTCCTATTAGAGAAACGTAATTATATACAATTTAGATTATCAGACATAACAATAAAGGGTAAAAATAAAGATTCTTGGACGATGCCTTGGACAGTTTCGCTTGTATACTAACTTGAATAAAGGTATGGATGGTTTGATCATTGGGCCGATCAGTAATGAGGAACTTCATGTTTTTGTATTCAATCTCGGCGGGCGCCGGTCTGATATCCTTTACCCTCATGTTGCTCATTTCCTTGTTAACCGCAGAGATGGTTATATATCTGTACCCTCTCTTATTGTTTTTAACTCTTAAAGATCTTGTACAACTTGTCTCTTAGAATCTCGTACGCGTGCCACACTACACGAAGCGACAAAGGCTGGATTTGACAACTTAGCCCATTAAATGTCAGTCTTATAAAGTTGTTTTTCATTTAATTAATAGATATTTTATTTTTTTACAGAGGACAGAACCGTGGGTTTTACATGTAGATTTTAGGTAGGGTCGTCGGGGTGCGAACTTGGCCGAAAAAGTAAGGGCTACGTTACATTAGGCGGTGTTGATATGCGCTTTAATTCTTCCCACTTGAGACTTTTCGACTATAATTCACGGAAGATTACCTGAAATCGATATAATTATAATCGGTAGGTAATAATAAAATGTACATGTACATAATTATTATTAGCTCTTGTTCCGGAGCTTTCCTTGGGGATTTCTACGCTTACCTATTTGGCACTGGGTGCTCCCTGTGACAGGTGCGCTCAGTATCTACGATGCTTGCATCTACTAAGGTAAATTAATAAATTTCTATTAAATTCTTCTATGTCTTGCGTGATGACTAGTTGATGATCTTTCTGGCTTCCCCGATGTGATAATTCTCTACTACTTAAATATCTTTCTTCCTCCCTCTCCAAGATGTTTCCAAGATTTTCCCCTCTTTCCTGCTCTAACGATATCTAATAATTGTCAGGGAGTATGGGCGTGTCTCTCTATTTGTGTTGAGCCTGGCAGTATTCTGCGCTATCCAACTGAAACTCCATGTATGTGAGGATGCACTCACCAGGAAACTGCAACACAGCATCAAAGACGAATATGACCACGTGTTTCTCGGTTGACTCAGTTACGCAATAAAATAAAATGTATTTTCAATCATTTTCATCGCGCGCTATTTTCGTCATACGTGCACATGACAATTGCAAAGCGAACTTTCGCGCGGCGCGCGGTCACGCGCTAGTAAGAAAGTTGCGCCTGATGCCAATTCGCAATTCTTCTCGAGCGTCTTGAGACTTGAGAGCTCGAGTGCGAAAACTAATTCGTTTTCGCACTCTCGTCTCTTTCTTTCCATCTCTACATCTCTGTATTCTGTATTATATTCATAATACAAGATATTCGTCAAAATGATATAGTATTTCTTAAATGAATTTAAGCAATTTCGTTTTGACTCAAATTGACGAATGATTAAAATCGAATAAATGTCATTGGGGCGGGGACGCGGGTTGAAGGACCAGGTTGCGGAAGAAACGTTTTGAGATATATGTTTAAAGGATGCTACGGTAGGACTTTAGATCGCAGTTTTTAGTTGTCGTATGCCAAGCTTGCGCTGTCGACAGCGCATTCGACAGCGCGCGTAGTTGACCTCTCGATCTTTCGCCGAGACCGATTTGCGAAAGCTCCCCCTTTTGCGTAACCGAGCCGTCGATATGCGACGTATTACGAGCGTCGCTGATTGACGAGAAAGAGTATGACCGACCGACAACCAGGCATATATGCACCAGAATAACCGAAATTGGCAGGTGAAGAGAAGCTCGAATGAGAGCGCGCGCGTGCTGTAACGCGCTTCGTGAAACGCCGCCAAGGCCAAATCCATCACGATGGCGTCGCGCGTCGACCGCCACACGACTGTATTCTATTCTATTTCTTTCACATGATACCATTGAATCTATGTGTGCCTTCGTGGATGCGTGGGTGTAGCTCCCCCCCCCCTCTCTCTCTCTCTCTATCTGCATGCATGTATCTACTCGGAAATTTCCAATTTCGATTCAGAGATCGAAAGAATTGCTGAAAAATGTGTACCGTACGTAGCAGCATTTCAATTACTGAACTGGAACTAGACATCTGATGGCTCGACTTGTAAAAAATTGGTCGCATATAAAGATCATAAAGGGGCTGTACGAAAACCTATCAGATATACAAAAAAAATCCCAAGGCATAAAATTACTCGAATCAGTCTATTACTTAGGCTATGTGACGCGCGTAAACCGTAAACGGACTTGTTAGAACAACGTTAGGATATGTGGAAACTCAATTTACACTTTATGTAGATGACATATCTCAACTCTGCACAACGTTAAAAATCTTCCGAGAATTCTTCTATAAACGGTATGTACGTTTCCCAATGATTCATTTAGGTTCTTCAGAAAAAATGAAAACTAAACATATACGCGCATTCGTTTACACAAATCAGCAAATATGTATAGTAATATTTTATCTTATTTTTCAGCATGCAATTTTCTACGTACATACAATAACAGGAATATGTAGCAAGGAATGAAAAAACTGTGGCAAAAGAATATGTTAAAAATAACGTAAGAATCGCAACAATGTACTGAATTTTGATGACGAACACGTAAAAGCCGCGCGTTGTACGATTCGTCGAGAAAATTTAAAAATACATATGTCCGGACACTATCGAATCTATACAGAGAATTTATTCAACATTATCAGAGGATTTATGCGAAAGATGGTCGCGTGTTTTATAAATTGCACGGTGCGCAATTGTCATCGTGTTGTATGAACATGCAATGTCGCCGCGATGGCGATGTATTCGCTAAGCGGCTAAGAAAACAAACCGACCGGTTCACTCATATATACACAACGTGTCTAATTAATGTAATCGATCGAGACAAGAGAGGGATGAAGAGAGAGTCAAATATCTTGAAAACTAAATTGAATCTGATTTTTTTCTTTACAATGTTTCATAATTTAATTAAAATAATTTTTGCCTCGCGATCCAACTCGCAAGTTGAATCTCACATTAGAATTTCACATTTCCGTGCCTGTGCAAAATCTCTACGCTAGAATTGCGTGATTTTTTACAAATGCAATGATCACTGCAACGTAAAAGATTTATAGTCTTGCGTAGAGAAATTGGCGCGATTGAAACCACGTCGTGTTTGTATTCATCACCGGAATCGTCAGAGACTGTCGCAAGATCGACGACGCATTAGTGCTCGTGATAGTAAACAAAATTCTATTTGCGTGTAGTTACGTCGCGAACGCTGTCGGACAGACCGCAAGCCGAAGCGACGTGCGAAGAACAAGCTGAACAAGGCGACAAAAATCGTTTGCTCTACACCTCTATCGATAGAACGTATATAATGGAAGTTTCCGTGGGAGAAAATAAATGCGTTGAGTATTTATACGCAGAATATTTTTATCCTTAAATATTATCCACTTGAACGTCAAAGAAGTGCGACATTCGCAGATGGGCTATTCGATACATAGGTATACAAGTATACATATATATATATATATATACGGTATACTCCCGTATGCGAGACGAGGCGAGACGAGACGAGACGAGACGAGACGAGACGAGAGGAGAGAAGAGGAGCGGAGAGAAGACTACGCGAGGCGAGGCGAGGCGAGGCAAAACGAGACGAGAGAAATCGTGGGTCAGGAGTCAGGATTGAGAGACATAAGAATTTATCTGTGTCTCTCGATGTATTAAACGTTTCTATCGAAGGAAAATTTCGACATTCGATCCAATCTCTAGATACAAGACAATTTTGTGACGTTGTAAATTGTACGAATAATTATAACGTAGCCGACATCGGTGAAACGGTAAAGGGGAAGATATATGCCTAAGATATGTATCAATATCGAATATCAATTTAAGTCTCGAAAAAACAGTAGTACTTTGCAACTCATGCAACACGTTGCATAATTGTCGCAAACGATATCGCGATATTATCGATGACTTTACAACTCGTCCGTGATTTTTCTTTGTCGCGAGAAAAACGAAAATCATGAATCATCTTGACGAAAGTCAAATACTAGGTTAATTATCGCGTCTTTACCAATCGACCAATTATTAATACTAACGACGCGACGTGGCAGTCTCGAATGCAATTTTCCGTCATTATTATCGTTATCATTATTATTTAGGCGGAAGTCTCTTACGGTGATTGACCAATACATATCGATCGATATTTTCCTTCAAACCTTTCGTCGTTGACAAACAGCTGTTATTACCGTGCCAATTTTCATCCGCGTAAAGCAACGTTACTCACGTTGAACGTTTATATCGTATAACTGTATTTATTTCGAAAGCATGTGAAAACTCGGCGATTCCATCATCAGCCTTCGTTCTATTAACGTATCGTCGCTTTCGACAGCCGCGCTATGTCACGTTTATCGCATGATACTCGCGAACTTTCGTGTACCGATAATAGCTCCCGCTTCTTTCTCCGAAAGAAGAAATTTGCATCAACCGGAACTGAAATTTTCCTTGACCGCTAGATTAACGAAATCCTTTCGCTACCGTGAGAAAGCGGTATCTCTTTGCTCTTTGCACGCGTGAAAAATTATATGCTAGCAAACAGGTTTTCGTGATTTACTTAAAACCTGTGTGTAGCGAAAAAAAGATAGAAGAAAGTAAATGACGAGCATTGAATTTTCACGAGCGATGAAGAGAAGAATGTGCTTATAATGATATTTATTTTTCCGATTACTCTCGTTTGTACCAGTCCGAAAACTAGTCACGCGTTCAAACGCGCGTTTACGTTGGCGATTATCGTCCGACAACTTTACCTTACGGTCATTTGATAAGAAGTCTGCAAGTCCGAGGTCACGGAAGCGTTTCAAGACAATTTAAGATCTGAGCGTAAAACAATTGGCGTATTGTTAGAACGGTCGTTAGCAATGTGAGAAAATCACCGCACCATCACCAACAAAGTCACATCTTAATGTCGCGCACGCGTGCACTTTCGCTAAACCACTCCAAATTTACAACTCAGGATGCAAAATCGTATTCTTCATATTGTCCATTTCCGTATTGTCAAAGTGACTGACAGGAGATTCAGAGCTCTCTCTCTCTCCCTCCCTCCCTCTCTCTCGACGAGTTTCAAATAAAATCTTGTACACGTTAGCGCATTAATTATCTTATTGTTAGATTTAGATTCGTGATCGGTCGGAGAGCGAAAAATTTACATTCTTCCTGGCTTACGGAGAACTCTCGAATGACGTCGCAATAACTGTACCGATTTCACGAGAGAGGCGTGAATCGCGAGATTCGCGAGATCAAAGTAGCGGCGAGCCGTGAGGCCCAGCGAGCGCGCGGCTGATATCGTACGTTCGTCGTGGCAGTCGCGTCGAATCTGGGCCAGCCACAGCGTGGCGATCAAAATAGCACGGCGTGTCGAGACAGCTTCCACCCTTCTCTTCATCGAGCGAGCACTCGTCATCCTGATCCCCTCCACGCACGCACGTACGTACGCACGCACGCACGCACGTACTCGCGCACCACATATGTCAACGCATTCCACGCGCAATGTTCCTCGACTCTGTCCGCTGTCGTCCGTCGTCCGTCGTCCGTTCTCGCAACAGTAACGTTTCGCCTTTTACGGCGTACAGTTGAAACTCGGTAAAAATTCGGACCGCATCGAAATTACGTAAATATCGCGTTTCCGACTTTTGCATCGGCGATATTATTTCGTCCCAGAATTATTCCTATCGCTGAAATCTAGCACGGCCGCGCTCCGATTTCCAAAGCGGTTGACGTTGATCGCCTGATCGGCCGATCGACCGACTTCAATACCGATCGATGAGAACGCGTGCCAAATGGCACGTAATAAAGCATATCGAATTTTCAAGTCCGGTATAGTCTATGAAAAGAGGAACAAATAAATCGCTAATCGTTAACTTGTTCGCGGCAATACAATTTCCGTAATCGCTATAATCATCCATTAATGAAATAAATAAAATCACGATTATCGCGATTATGATTGCGATACAGCGAGCATCGCGAGGAAGCGAAACAGAATCAGAAATCAACAACTGTCCGACGATTGCGTCTTGTTGCATGGGATTGCATAAGATTGCACGGATTCTTTTGCCACGCCACCACGCGCAAGCTCGATAACTCGGTACCGATCGGTGATCGGCCATCTTTATCGTTTATGCCTTTACGCCACGCGCGCGCACGCGATTGTCTTTCTGGCTTCCCGCTCGAGGATAGAATGGAAACGTCGCCGGCGCGAGCGCCGCGCCGGTCCGTCCGAATGTCGATCGGTAAGCGCCCGCGACTTTCACGGTCATTCTCGCTACGCGATCAAGAGAAAACAAGATCGCTCGTCAAACTATGATGTCAAAACTCGTCGAGCCGGATAAACGACCAGATCGTTACAGTAACGTACATATGTCGCTGGATACGTGCGACTTGGACACTTGTCGACTCGGCGGATGCAACTCGATGCGCGCCGTTTCGGAGAACTCGCGCGGATCGATGCGAGTACGGAGAAACGTCCAACGGAATTCGACGAATTCCCCCTTGCAGCCCCTGCAGACACGCGTTAACATTGTCAACATCGTGGTCGATCTATACACGGCGAGATAACGTCCTGGTACCGCTCGAGAGACCACCCGTCCTTCGGGTACGAAAAGTTTTCCTGTTTCTCTGAGAATTATTCAACGCGCCGCACCGCGCACGAGAGCTACTCGGATAATCCGCCACGCGTGACGATGCGTTTGCGCTTAAATCTTTATTGTTAGTTAGTAACGATAATATAACACGATACTTATTTTTTTCAGCTGCGGGGTAGATGCGCGATCGAAAAAAATATTTGGCGACGCAGTGACGTCACCAGGGATCAATACGCGGTGAGCATGGTCAGGAGGAGGCGTTATGACGTCGGCAGTCGGTCTGTGATGTCACTGTCGTCACTCGCGTAGGAGACGCGCGTACGCGTGCGAATCTACTAAACAACGGAAAACGGTCGACGGTCGTATAGGAGCGCGCTAACGTGCTAGCGCGCTCCGACTATGACCTCAAAATGGGACTAGTGATTAGGGAGTCCCGTGCGCGCGTCAATCATTCCTTCCTGGAGATACAATGATACTGACGAGAGATGATATATACAACGCGACAGCGATATAACAGTCGAACATAGCCCAGCATGTAATCGACTACTCGAGAGTATGACGTACATCATCTCTCTTCTCTACGTTACATCGCGGTCCTGTACATCTGTGCCACGTCTATGCCTCCGCTCCTGCGACTTTTGCCGTTTCTTCCCGACGTTCCTGCCACCACTCACCACTCATCATTGCCACCACCAACGGTTTTCCAGACAGACGACAATGAAGCAGCGGGGTTGAATGAGCCATAGGGCGACGAACCGCGCGTTATTAGGCAACGTTCATAACGGCGTTAACATCGGTAACAAGATTTTCGTCTATCGGATTGTCCATCTTTCCCGTTTGTTCGACATTTCCTTATTTACGTTATTTACATTAAAGCGACAATTTCTCTTAAAAACGATGCAAAAAAGATAAGTAATAATGCGCACGAGTGATAGCTTTACGAAAAGTAATTGTAATCATTTAATCAAGTATCTTTGTACCGACGATATCGCTCACATTTCGAGTCCTCGGATAATACCATTCGAAATAATCAGAAATAATCAGTACAACAGTTGTGAATTCCGAATTATTGAGAAATACGAAGATGCATGGAGAGGCAGGAGAGGCTACTCGAATCTACACTGATAGCATTAATAATTTGCTTTGCAGCACAGCTTCATCGAAAGAATAACAAAAATTCGCACACTTTGTTTAATATGAATAGATTTGATCAATCCAATCAGCACTCGTGACATAGTATTTGCGGAATAACTGATTTAAGGAGAACGCAATTTTAATATCCGCGTCGTAGATAACGAAAGCGGTCGCGAGCACCAGCGGTCTCAGGTGTACGTTAAAATCGATACTTCAAGTAGGTCAGTAGGTTACCAGGCGAAGGATGATAAGAGACCACCTTGGACTAAGAATCGCCACTGTCAATGATACAATTAATATGGAATGATACTCTGTTGTATATAAATGAGTAACGTATTACCGCGAAACAACTCTGTCGAGCACATGCAATGGCAATTTGCGCGCGTGCATGCATACACAAATTTTTAGCGCATTTATAAATTAAAAAAACTTTTGTTATTTTTAAAATATTAACTTGAAAAGGCTGTGATTTTTTTTTGTTTCATATAGGCGATAAAACGTGTGTAAATTTTAAAATTCGGTAACACAATGAGAAAGTAGGGGTCGAGGCAATAAAAAAGTAGAAAAAAGCCTCTTTTTTGTCAAGATGCGCCAAGAGCACCAACAGATTTGCTTAGCTCCCCTCTAAAATTCCAGCTGGCCCCGCTGGCCCCCCGCTCGCCCCGCTCGCAGTGGTTCCCGTAGACATTAGCGATCGTTATCCAAGGTCAGTGACATCGGTCGTCCACCCTAGCGTCTCGTCTGGCGTCTCGAATATCTTTTTTCTTTCCTCCCGCAGGGCGACGCTCCTGCGGCTACACAGCGGGGATATAACATTCGTCGTCCTTTGGAAACCGGCTCGGAATAGGGGATATTCGATCCGTTTAAAAACTCTCCGACATCCCCCTCGCCTGATACTATTTTTAAGCGGACGACCGACGCTCGACAGACGTCATTCGCGCGACGACGCAGCTTCGTACGCTGTGCGTTTATGTTGGAAACTATCCCTAAGTTTTGCATTTTTATCCCGCGAGGCGATTTACGAGGCTCAATTTTAAAAACAAACGCGAACACGTTTTAGCTCGCATATAAATTGAAATTAATGACATTTTCCCTTCCTTGCGTCAAGTTGATTACGATCGATCAGTTACAACTGTCGTCCACAACTGGATCGTCAAGATTTTGTTGGATCGTTAATCGTTACGCTTGACTTGAGGAAAACGTAGCGAATTCTAGAATAGCTTAAACTCGCGGGTCCGATTTGTTCGAAATGAATCAGCGCGAGCTTGACTCATTTCTCCACATATTTACGGAACACGCATGGAAAATCGGTACATCTCGTCGACATCTAATTTTTAATTTTACAACAACATTACAATAACGCGCCAATCGATTATTGGCAATTTTCCGAATCTGTGCTTAAATCTTTGCGTTTGCGAGTTATTAATTGTCTCGGGAACGGGATGTACGAAAGTGATTTAACGAAGCAAGTCTGCACGCAAAGTCTGATCTTACGGAAGTACGTTTGGTCGTCCGGGGGATCTTGTATTATAAATTATAAAAGATATGCGACGACGGTGGTCTATTTTCGCGCGGCGACGTTCTTTGTTTTGCTCCGTGAGTGTGTTTAGTTTAGTCTCGTGTTGCGACGTGAGCGAGGTAAGAGCGAGGTAAGAGAGAGTCACATGCGCGTCTCGCTCAGTCTCACCGCTTGTGACGCGTTCGTGTGCCGAGGGCAACTTAATCCGAGCTGAATAAGAAGCTCCTTATCGCCCGTCTACGGGGGGGTCGAAGCTTAAAACACAATGTTACATAAATTGATTCTAATACAACGATACAACGACATAAACTCGGGCTCGAGTCCATATGTATCGGCTTACGAGGACGCGGCGATTACTACGTTCGATCAGCGCTGATCAGCGCGAATGCATCGACTCTTGCATTCTCTTGCAAAAAGACGTCTCGTGTTTCCGAATCTTACAATTAGTTCTTATTATCCTTGGTCCTCTGATAATGCGTTTTTCTATACCTGAATGTAATACCTTCTGGGCGTAAGATTCGAGTTGGACGCGTGCAATCTGCGTGGAAAGGTCAAGTTCTTGGAAACGAACGTTCCTCTTCTGCCGCGTTAAAAAGAGCTAAAGAGAGCAACGAAACACGTCAACGAGAGCACTCGAATCCGCACGTTTTTTTCAAGGTAACATGTGACTCTTGGACGTTCTTTCCAGATAAACGACGAGACAAATCTCTTTAGCTAGGATTAAAAGGACCTCCTGGCTCTTGGCTCCTGACAACTGGCGCGGATACCACCCGCGGCTAGTGCGGATACATCTTTTAGGAAATAAGAGCCGACAAGTGGATCGAGGTTAAACTCGCGAGAGACGAAACGAAACGTTCTTCCTGGTGATTTGCCTCGAGCAAGAATTGAAACGTTCCGTTACGTGCGCGACACGATTGAGGAGAACGAAGAGAAGTGTGAACGAAGACAAAAGTGGAACACCAAGACAGTCGTTGGCCTCTCTCGTCTCTCGGTCGGGTTCCCGTTCGCGGTAGCGTAGTACGGCCCTGCGTCCCGTCGACGTCGTCTTAAGG